GCAGCGACGCCGCCCGGCCAGCGCCGCTCTGACGCTGGGGCAGCGGGGCCTCTGCTTTCGCGCCGGAGCGGGGGCTCTGCACCAGGTTTCATCCCCGTCTCTGCGCTTTCCCCCGGCTCCAGGGAGGGGTTTCTCCTCCTGGGGTTCTGCGGGAAGCTCCCCTGCGCCGTGAAAGCGGTGATAGCAAGCCCCACCAAGGCTGGCAGCCAGCCTCTGACACCACAGCACCCCTCTTATAAAGGGTAGAAACGCCCTTTTTTTCTTTTTTTGTGCTATAATCTACTACTTGTGGGTGTTTAGGGCAAAGTTTCCACGAGTGCAAAACACTAGCAGAGTAATCCATTTTTGTTTGAGATGCATGTTACTGTTATTGAATGCAAGTAACATTTTCTCCTTTTAACAATTAATGGAACGCAACATTTCGGTAGCCTTCAGTCGGAGCTGGAAGCTCGCTAGCACACGGTGGCATACTTGGAGATTGTCCGTTTAATTTTACACTCAATTTATTGTATTTATAATGACCTAACAAGTAGTTTAATCACAAAAAGAAATGCAAACTGCACTGGCTACAGAGAAAGACAGGACTTGGCCTCAGAAGCTGTTCAGACTGTTTCATATATGTAACAAAATCAATACCAGACAGCGTAACAAAAGCGTCTTTTCTCAGGTCAGAAAAGCAGTGTATTGCAACGACAAGCCCTCTAAGCCCAGGAAAGCTATAGTGTGTTTTGGCTGTGCTTAAGGATGGATTAGCAGAACTACCAAACCTGAATGCAGAAGATGACTGAGCCACGTTTATAACAGACAGAATCGTAACTGACTACGGGACACGCTTCTCTAAGGCCCCCAAACTCGCTTCTGCAAACGCCCCTTTGGACTAGAAAGTGCCACTGTCCAAGCGAATGCTGGTGGAGAGGTAGAGAGGACTCGACCTCCCCTCTGCGCGTGCAGAACAGGCTTTCCCACAGAGTCTGCCGGCTTCGGAGGAGGGAGGGAACTTTCAGAGCATAGAGATAAACGCACGAAACCAGAGCTAAGGCTGCTGGGTTTAACACACAGCAGTGGGCTGCAAACGAGGGCGTGGGGAGAGATTCGTGTTCTGCGAGCCTGCCCCGGAGCGCAGCCGCCCCTCACCACGTCGCTTCTCCGAGGTTCTTCCTTGATGACGGCGCGTGAGCTCGCGCGGTCAACAGCTGCCTCTAGCGCGGAGCAGCAGGAAGACGACGCTTCAGCAGTTTGGTTTCTTCGCTGCCGTTCACGTGCTCCATCCCTGCTCCTCGCTACGTCCCCTGCTTGGTTACTCTCTTGCCACCTGCTGCCCCTGTGGCTGCTGTGGAACCGCAGGAAAACGAACAACCAGCAGTCAAACAGGAGACGTGTAGACTGATGGAGCTGTGAAAGTTTAACTCACTACAGTGTTTCTGCATGCGATTCAGTGATCGTTGTGCCATGATTAAGACTGGAACTGCAATTTCAGCAGTTCTGTTTAGTTTACAGATCTTCCGCTGCCTTTGGAGGGTTTGCTGGAACCCTTTTTGATGCTCTTTGCTAACATAGATGCAATCCATTTCCTTTGAGCTTTCTTGCAAAGACCACAGCCAGAAACTTCCATTTTCACTGAAGCATCATCATGTTTTCCTTCAGAATTGTGTCTTAAAACTCATTTACTGTGTATCTAGATGCTCTTCTGACCACCTTGACCTAGGAAAAGCCACTACATCTACCCACAGCACATTGACTTAGCTGTAGAGCTGTTCCAGAGCGTTCCCAGTCCAGCACTGGAGTACCAGTACCAGGAAAAACTAACAACTTCAAAACTGTCACAGGGATGTAGAACCAAGATGGGAATTCTTTTGTTGTTACTAAACAATGCTGTGGCACACAAAGAGAAACTGAGTGAAAGACTCAACAACTTTCAGGTTTGCTTTTCAACTAATGTCCTTTTTAGTCATTCCTGTAACATCTACTTTGTAAAGCAATTCTGGAGCCATAAACAAAGCCTCTCTTCAGGGAAAAAAAAAAAAGCAAAAAAACCAACCAACAAAACAAAAGATGAGCTGCCAGCAAAGTAAACTTGGATTTAAAAACACAATACAATGCTCTTTAAGAATCGTTAAAACTATTTCCTAGTATCTCCTAGCCACACTTCCTACCTTGATGCATTGTGCTTTTTTAAAGCACAGACTGCATCTACGAAGAAGACACACATTTACAACAAAAAACATGTTTGAAAGACTCCTTAGTCTGTTAGTAAGATTTGCACCGAAATATTATCTGTGCAAATGTTTTGCCAATCTTAGGCAGAAGCAATACGGATGCCTTCCCTGCGGGACGGCAGCTATCGGGCCGACCGCCTACTCTACCAGACTCCTCCTCCTCCTGATCAAATTGCGCTTGCTCGGTCCTGTCGATGCTTGCCCTGCGCTTCCAAGGACTTGTTCTTGTCATTGGCTGCACCAAGAGCTCTGACTCTTTCCAGGATATATACTTCCTATAAGACAAATCTCCTCCTCCTACTTGTAGCAAGCTGAAGAAGGGAGTGTGCCTCACCTGGTAATTCTGATTCCAGGGATAATCCCTCATTTACGGGAATTTAGCTGCTGCTACCTTGTAAAAAGGCAGCAAAGAACTTGATTTTAATTTGTCTAATTATATTAAATAAAATGTCATATGTATAAAGAGTTGGTTTTATAAAGCATTCAAGTGCGTTATTTTCTTAACTGCATTCAATTAGTTTACTCTGCACTTTTGCCATTTATCGCTATTGCACAACTATTTAGAAAGGAAAAAAAACAGTTTTCAGCTACCAAGAAGCAAACATGGAAAACCATCCCCTACTTGGAAGGAACCACCTCCAGTTCTCTGTTACAGCTCTCTGTGCTGGGGAAAAAGAAGGAGAGGAGGAGATGGAAAAGTCATGGCAAGGCTGGTTTGTATCGTTCAGTTTGGAAGCGGCTTCCCTGGTAGGTGTGTTTCCTTGAATGTCTGTATGTATATCCCCGTAAAAGGAACATTTCTTCATAAAAATATGTATTTTACTATGGTGGAGCTACTGCTCAATCCTTGTACAAGAAACGCTTTTCAAACTACTAACAGGGCTTCATTTCTACTTTCTAAGAGCTGCACTTTTTACCCAGGAAATGATTTACAGCACTCCAAGCAGCCTATTATTTTAGCTTCGCTTAATCTTAAACGAAGAGGCAATGAATGTCAAGAACTACTGTAAAAGTGCTTTCAGAATTTAAAGCTGTCAAATAATTTACGGAAAGCCACTGTCTGAAGACTCAGGAAATTTATTGACATGAAAAAACAGACATTGGAAAAGTTAATTTCAAAATTTCTAACTAAGATTGCTTAACACAGCGTATTTTCAGATTGATAAGGAAATGCTCTTGGGGAAAACGCATGCTGTTTCATAGGGTGTGCCAGACGAGCTGATTCTTCAGCAGGGCATCTGCTGGCTACCTCTTTCCACTGACCTGCTGACTGTGTCTCACAATGGACAGTAGTAGAAAAGGAGATAGGATGGCATTTACCTTTCCTCCTCTCTCTCCCTCACCAGCCTATGCCTGCCTTCTTGCCTTCCTAGTGCCTTGCATGTTTATACTCTCCAGTGAGTCTGACCCTGTGTCTGTGCAGAACATGACAATACACTAAATCTAAGGACAAAGGAATTTTTTCTAACCCTTGATACCATGAAGTGGCAATTTGAGAGTGGTATTCTGGTGCCTTCTAATGAACATACAGGAGCATAAGGGTAAGAAATGCACTAGGTGACAGCGTGGGGTTTTTGAAATCATAGCTTTTCTCTTCAGGTCTCCAGGACAGAATTCATCAGCAGAAGGTCAGTGCATTCTGCTAGGCCTTGGAGGCCAAGCATTGCAGGAGGTTTGGGCAGGGAACTTCACCCCTGGAACAGCAGCAAAAATCTGTCTTGCATTTAATCCCAAATTTAGTTTCTAATGGAAACCCAGGGAGTGTGGCACAACACCTGACTTTCCAGGGAAGGACCACATACTTACAAACAGAATTCAAAGCCTGTGGGCCATTTTTAATAGCTTTGGCACTCAGCAGGATTAACCTTGCAGCCTTGGCATAGCATCCCACAACAGGGTACAATTCAGCAGCTTTCTCTTCATGGCTCATATAAATCTGGTTTGTGTTAACTAGTAAGTCAGCTATAAAGCTACATAAAAACATCAAACAGGCCTACATCCAAAATGTTGAGTTTAGAATTACGTAGCCACTTAACAACCACCAGCCATGTAGAAAGATAACTGGTAGTAAATTTGCTTATTTAAACTCAAAAGGGGAAACAATAAAAATGTTAATTTGAAAAATGTAAACAAATTATTATTTCCTCTAACTGCATGCATCAATTTCCAAAATTCTCTGAGAGAGAATAAATAAGTCAGACAAAGCTATTCCAACCATTAGGTGTTGTGGAATGTGTTACTACACTGATGGAGGGAATCCTTTAACCAAAGAAAGCAACTAAAGCTAAATGGGGCTTTTTGCAATAAACACTCATTGCAGGAAAAGATCACTCTTTTAGGATTCTCTGTTGCTTACAGCTACAGAAGAACTTAGTTTTCTTCATCCGAGGAGAGACCCTCTATTTCGTCTCTGTCTCCTCCAATTGCCATCCAGAACGCTTTGGCCACCTAACAATGGAAAAAAAGACAGGAAAGGGAGAAAAATTCCCCTCAGCTGACCGAAGATTTTGCATTTACCATCCCAAAAACAGAAACTGAGCAGCAGCTAAATCTAGCAACCATATTTCTAAGTACAATGCTAATCCTCTCTGAACTTAAGAAATTTCAGCAATGCAGAGGCAATAATTTCGTATTCACGGGAGGCATGTATACAAAACTTGTGCTAATTAAGGCATGATTAAATTTTCCTTGAGATCAAGGCTTTTCCATTGACTTAAGTGGAAGCTGGCTTACACTCTGAGTAACTGCAGGGCCTTCATTTCAGAAATTCTGAAAGGGGAAAGCGTTTTCTGGTGTTTCAAAATTCTGGGTTTGTTATTCAGTTCTTGGGAGATAGGAGACGGTCTTCCCTATGACTCTGCAGTTTGTTCTTACTGCTTTTAATATAGGAACTCTACACGTGAAGTAACTATGGCTTAGAAAGGAAAACCCTGTATTTAATAATTTCAATGCCGATTTCAAAATCTCACCTTTTCTGCGTGTAGTTTTCTTTGCTCATGAGGCAACGTTGCAGCTTTATCTGTGAAAAAGAACACGACTTAGGTTGTCAACCTCAGGAGTGAGCAGGGAGAGAAATGCCTACTGCAGCTGGTTTTAGGAGACTACCAAGAAACTAGTTTAACATCATAAAAAAGGTATATTATTTGGTAAGAGCACTTGCAATTCCAAAGCACCAGGAAGCAAATGCTGCTGAGCACGCTGGATGTCATCTCAAACATTTGTAGCTTTAAACTGCAAGACTGACACGTACTTGTAGAGCGAAAGAAAAAGGTTTGATTATAGAAAACTGTGTAGCATTAGTTCACAGTGGACAAAATCAGTGTGACAGCAGTCAGCTGAGCAGTATCTGCTTCTTTCGAGAGCACTATCAAGATGAAGGGCAAATTAATGAAGAGATCAGCTACTTATAAAGAACCTCAGAAAGGAGAATAGGAATTTGTACAATCTTCCCAACTCACACACTGACTTGCATGCCTTTGAGTGACTAGAATAGGTGACATAGCTCAGTACCGCTCTCCCTGGTACATTACCTTTCATTTCTTTCAGCTTTGAAAACAGCCTTTCAAAGTTCTCCAGGTCACCATCTCTGGTGGTTAGGCTAGCTAACTCTTGAATGTCCATATCTAACACAGGATCTGAAATAAATGCATATAGATTTGTTTAAGGTAAAGTACTCAGTTTTGTCAGCAGGTTTGAAAGCCTTTCTGACAAAAACAGTATTTTAACATCTGCAAATTCCAACCCCATAGGAGGGAAAGAAACATTGAATTCACGGATTGTTCATACAGACAACTCTTGGCATCATTACAGTGGTAATTAACTTTGATACATTACATTGCAAGAGTGGTTTTCAGTTCATCTAATATTTAATATAAATTATTCAATAATAATTTATATTCATCTAATATTTAATATTCTTTCTTATTATAAAATGATCTGCCTAGGAACAGCCACTGAGTAAATTAAAGAGTAATAAGACTATTCTTAGCCCACAACTAACAGCACTCAACGTCTAAAAGATCTCCAGATACAACTTCTAAGAAAGTCCTGGAATAATGCAAGTATTTATGGCCCTGTAGCTTAAAACACCTGAAAGTCTTAGGACTGACCCAAGTAGAGTGCGCTTCATTCACCTCCCGCTGGGTCAAACTGTAATGATTTTTCTTTGCAACCGTAAAGCTTGAAACTTTATTCTTATAAAGATTTGTCTAGATACACACAATATACACAATATGCACAATCAGGAAATTTCACAAAATCAGCTCGGAACGTTTCCAGTTGGTAGTACTGCCGGGACTCTGTCCTATCCAAACTTGGGCCCATTTTTTCAAGAAGCAGAACACCTGAAGTCTCAGCAATTAGCCTCTACTGGCTCTGGCAAGTGCACTTATGCCATACTTTTCATTGAGAAAAAACCAGTGGCTTTCTAGGACCATCCCAGCCAGGGGTGCCTCCTCCAACATATCTGCCAAGCAGAGAAAGAGCTTACCTACGCTGTTGTCAGTCTGCAGGTTGTTTGTGCTAGCTCCATCTTCTTTGTTGTCTAAATGAGATTCTTCTCTGTCTGCTGATGATGGATCGGACTGTCAGGAAACAAATAGATATTAGAGTATCCAATGATGCACCTAAAAAGCATCATCAGCAAATCAAGTGCTTCCTGTTTTGACTTCAAAAACTTACTCTTTATCTTAAACTGTTGCCTACTGCAAAACCTGTACCACATATATTATGAAAAGCCACTTTTGGAACACTGTAAATAGATACTACATGAAGGTTTTCTCTGATAGGTTTTCTGTTTTTTAAATAACACTATCAAGGGATAGTTTTTGTTTTGCACAAAATAATGCTCTTGGATATTAATGAAAAACAACACTTTGAATGGAGCTTTTAATACTCTTTCCTTGGCTCCAGTGGGTTGTCTAGGGTAAAACATTTACACAGTGCTGAAGTCAGTGTGATCAACACCCAGTAGCTTTCCACACTGAGCACGTAATCAGACATCTCCAGGTAAAACGATGAGTTCGTCCCAAAAAACAGCACGCTCACAGCCATGAGGTGCCAGCTCCTAGGAACAGCTGTCTCAGGAGGACTTGTAAGAAAAACGCAGGTAGTTCAGACTTCAGAAATGTTTCCTTTAAAACACATTCTAATAAGCTGTGAAGCATCCCTTGAGAAAGGAAAAAAAAAAAAGCAAGCCGCCACCACCACCACGCTGAGTGTGACAACAGAAAAGAGCAACACAATAAACAGTATGAGCAAAGAACACAAAATAGGAATTACTGTTTACTTCTGTATCTTGGTTCTCTTCTGACCCAATGCTACAGTTCGCACCTGCTAATGTACTGAGAAGACCAAAGCTCTGGGTCCTGTCTAAAAACAAAACTGCTGTTAGTCTGACAGAAGACGCAATATTATTACAAGTAACTGTAACTGACCAGTTGGGATAGAGAACAATTCAGGGAACACACACAGAGCACCCTGTAAAACTGTGTCAGTGCACTTGAAAATATATTTTAGTCAGAGAATTTTTATATTCTTTAAGCTTTTTTTAAACTATCTTAACAATATTTCCTGCTAAATATTACCAACAGGGAATGGATGTATAAGCCACAAGAGATGTGAGCTCTTTTTTCTTCTTATTTGAAGACAGTGCTCTGTTAGGATTTGGTCTGGCAAAGGTCTTCTGATTCCATACAAGGCAGTCTTCAAAATACAGAAGCAGCATTTGCTATTACTGGCATGCAGTGGACGAGGTTTCACCATCCATGGGAAGCAGCACTGAGTTTGTGGTTAGATACAGGAAATGCAGCAAGTGCTTTTGCTTATACACATATTGTCTAAATAGGCTGAGCACTACAGTAATGGCAAAGGCAATTTAAAATATCTAATTCAGAATTCATGAAAGGACTCAGCCATCAAATCCAATGTTTCTTCACACTGCAAGGTGCTTTGGGCTTTCCACATCTGTTAACCTACTGTGTATTTCAATGGCATTTTAAAATCCAACCTAAAAAAAAAAGTTAATTCAAACCTAAACAATCATCTTTTTTATCTAAGATAATAGATGCAGTACAGTATTTTTAAATTAAACTAACTGTATTTTTAAAACTTTATTTTTTAAATAAAAATGTATGCATAATAGGTGACATTATGGGTTGGTTGGGTTTTTTCTAAGCCTTGTTTTCTGCTGGCCTTGCACTGAGTAGTAAATATTTGCAGTTATGCAGGGGACTCAGGAGATTTTTCTGAAAATCTTAGTGTTTAGTCAACTAAAAAAGAAGTAACATTAAGTTATCATACTACAAATAGCCAGGAAACAATAACTTGTGACAGAAGGACTAAGATTACTTTAGGAAAAAAAAAGTGTTTTAAATTAATATTACACTAATGACTAAGCTCTAGACTCAAACATTGAGATGATGTCATTTTTACGCACTGTCCAAATTTACTTGCCATTTATAAAAAATTTCATTTCAAAGAGTTGAATGTGCAACTAACACCATCAGCTATCTAGAAAACATGTAAACATGTCTCCATTAGGGAATTACTAAGACCTCATTTCCTCTTTAATAACCTTCATTGTGCACTTAGGCTAACGTGTGTCTCGTCCTAATCCTCTTCTCCCCTTGTGCTGCCCCCACCCTCAGCAGGTATTTGTTTCAACTGGCTCTGTTTTATACAGTTTATTGCTTTAACAGTTCACTCGCTAAAGGTTTTGGAAGAAGTGATTCAGCCGAGCCGAATGAATCGCCTTAAAAATGTTCAGTTACAAGATCCGTGAAAGCCCGTGGAGTCTGCCAGGTAGATTTAACAGGCAATTAAGTGGTAAAAGATTGGGACTCACAACCCAAAACAATGTAGCTTCCCCAAGTCTCAGCAGGCTGAGCAAAGAGCTGTCTTTAGAGAAACTGTAAAGATCAACATTTAGCCAATTTCTGAGTCATCTGAAGTTAGATTGGACACCGCAGTCCAGAATGTACTTGTGAGAGAACGTTCCCACGTTGGCAGAGGGATGGATGAAGTGACCTAATCGTATACCTCGTTCATATCTATGAGAGTTCATCCTGTACAGAAAAATGACAGTGGGTCCACCCTCCCCACATACACATAATCTCAGCCAGCGTAATTGCAAAATGTTGTTCTAGTTAGAAAGTACTGGAATCTGCAGCAGGGATCTCTGAAAAGCAGCTATTTGTTTCTGGATCCATGATTAGGGAGGTGGCAGATATAACACTTGGTTGCAGGCACACCCTTGAAAAAGTCTTCCTATAAACTCTTTTTATTGGATGCAAAAGTTATTTCAACTTCTGGGTGCAATTCAGGAAGTGGGTGATGCCTTACACAGTGTTCTTGCAGCATCAAAGCCAAAAATTATCTCACTCAACTTATTGTAATAGTTGGTGGCTCCGTTATTATGAAGTTGATATCGTTTTACAGGTATCACTCATCAACAGTTGTGGAACTCTAGTACGCTGTGCTCTGAGCATGGCTTCAGGATTCATATATGCTCGTTTCATAGCAAAACATTTTCCACTTTTATTTATTATTCTTCCGCAGTCTGTCTCTAGCTGACATGTGGTGATCCTGACTCCCATACAAAAATGGAATTAAAAAGTCAAAATTCCTAATTTGTTTAAATAACTAAGTTACAATAGTTCCCCTAAATCAGGCTAATTTTTTGTAAAGAGAGCCAGGCTAATTACTGGTTCCACCCTAGGTAACCAGCTTCAGCTGGGATCACTAAAGCACATACTTAAGCAGGAAAGTAGCCAAGGAGCTTCTTTCAGAGGGCAGCAAATTGCTTCTCGTCTTGCCATCTAGGACAACTAGCTTTGCTCCTGAAGGGGCAGCTAAGAACAACAGCTGTGCACTACCCTGGTGGGCAGAAAATGTTAGCTGAAGATCTACACATGCCCTTCTGCCCAAGGCGGGCGGGGAAAAAATAATGACCACCTGATTCTCAGATTGAAGACAAGTCTGAGGCCGGGAGAACTAACAACTTTATGCCAGCTACAAAAGGGAATTGCCCTCTGGAGACTGTCAGGTAAGACTGCTTCGTTTTCTTTTAGTAGAGATGATACTGCTTTATTTACTCACAAAGCATGTGGTATTATTTCATGTAAAAATGTTTATAATTTAACTATGCTATATTTAATACCTATTTTTATGAATTGGTGTGAGAATGAATGTATTTAATAGAGGAAAAAAAAAAACAAAAGGTCAAGAATTTTCTTAATAGGTGTATGAAAAAACTACTTCACAACTCCAGAATTGTGTTTGGGCTTAAGATAAAACATCTTTAAAATAATATGGTTTTAATGCTTGTACTCAAAAAAAGTCATTCCTGCTTTGTCTGTAAATGTAATTCTCATACAAACAGATAGCTGAAGTAAGGCAATGCTGTAACACTGACTTTTTTGGATGGCAATGCTTAACAGTGCTATACGCCCTTACTACTATACAAATATCTTATACTTTATGAAAAAATCTTCACATGAAGTATGACTGCACGGTCCCTAAATGGCCCGCAGTTACAGGTAATTCAGTAGAAAAGCTAAAGTTTGATTTAAATGGTGGTCAGTTCCCAGGATCAGGAGGAAGTTGAAAACAAAAGATACGTTACAGGTTGTAAAAGTTTTATTTTAAGTAAAATGAGCTCAACAATTTCCCTCTGAAGGCATAGTCAGGCTGCAACAGCTTCCAAATATAGTTCACTTCCTGAGGGGTTTGTAGTAAAGTGTATCAATGCTGTGTGGTTTCTGCACTGTGGAGATAGAAAATCTGGATTTTGAAGGAGTCTGACCTTTACAGAACACACTAGTGATGCATAGGAATTTCCCCCACAAGGAACTGAACATGTGACTAAGTTCTGTTCTTCTGTAATGTGGTATCTGTCAAATGCAGGAAATACGCTGTTAAGAACAATTTAGCTCTAATGAGGTACCTTTATACAATCTCAAATGGCTACCTATTTCTCTACAATGGTTACATTAGGTTAGAACCAACCTTAACCTCATTCTCATGTGGTATGAGAAATACTCAAAAGGCTACCTTAAAAAAATGAAAAAAAATACTGGTTTAGTAGTTCTCATCTTAGTTCTACCGAGTCCCAGTAACCATCTTGCAGTTACAGGAACTAGCAGAAGCCTCTCAGCACTTGAAATCATTACACAGTTAAAAGACGTAAGAAGGAAGAAACTGGAACAGTGGAAAATTGTACATCAGGGAGCAGCCAGACACTGGAAGGTTGTTAGTGGGATAAGACTTTGTGAAACAAGAAATGTAAGGCCAAGCACTTAGCAAGAGTTTAATCTTCCTACATTTCCTGCAACAGCTTGTGTTATTAGAAAGGTAATTAAAGGTTTTCAAGTAAATGGAAGTATCTACACGTGCAGTAAGTCTGGGCTAGCCACAGCATTTCCTTTTCTAATGTGTCTAATCCTAAAGTGATCTTTCCAAAATTCTAATTCTACCTGATAATCAAGTACCTTCAGGAAATTATCTGGGGTGGCCTGGGGTTTTTGCACTGTTTCCAAAAAATTCTATGGTTTCCATGTACTCAAGTGGGTTTTTCTGTAGGGAAGACAGTCCTTCTTGCAATGCACTTAGTATGTCCTTCAACAGGTGTCTGAAATCACTTCTTTGCTTAATCTCATCTCTACACTTGCTATTCTCATCCCTGTTTCAAAATTTTTTTCAAAAAGCTGTTACAAATTTGGAATTTAACACTTATTACTTCTACACTAAACCTTGTATCAAGTTTTTAGACAAAGGCAATAATGACTAGCTATTTGCTGCTGGAGTTTGGTGGAACAAGCTTTCATTTTTAATTGACATTTGAAGAGTTAGTGGAACATTTAACTCAAGTTACTGGTAGAGAGCAAGTTAAAGTACCGAGGGAACAGGAACAGATGGTGAAACAGGAATAAATCTCACCCATTGCCTGTAAGTTTCTCTGTGCATGAAGGGACAATGAAAGCAATACCTGAAACCCCACAATTCCATGTAAAAGGTTGAAGAGTGCTCTAGTTATCTGTATACTGATGCAGTGACAGTAGCACAGTAGCTGCTCAGTTTAAACCTTTGCTAAAAATACTAAGACCTCTAGGCCTTGCATTCTCCAGAATTCGTA